AGGAATTATTTCAAATTTGTTAAAAAACTGATTCTGACTGAGATTTTGACACTTAAACAAACATATCTCAGCCTAACCGAACGACCGCATTGTGCGAGATGCGAAGTACAAAAAGGAATCTCATTAGAGAGGGCGCACTTTATTGATTGTATAAAGTATACGTAAAAGCGAGAGTATTCCAGTGGATGCGATCTAAAACCTCTGAATTTGCCTAGTAACGATGAATTCGTCCAGAAAATGGTAATATTTTATGAGAAATAGTCTGTATTTCTCTTTTTTTATTCATGATTTATAATAATTGGAGTAATGCAAATGAATATTTTCTAAAAAAGGTCAGTTTTTAGTGAAATTTTGCCGGGAATGGGGCTTTAAACAAACATATCTCATTGCCTACTCGAACGACCGCATTGTGCGAGATGCGAAGTACAAAAACTAATCCCATTAGATAGGGCGCACTTTATTGACTGTATAAAGTCTGTCTCTTATACACTTCGTAACATCTGCGTTGTTTCTGTAAAAAAAGAAAAGTAGCACCAAGTGATACAATAATATAATAAAATTGTTAATAAACTAATGTTACCGTAATTTAAATAACAAGTTGGCTGGTTTTTCCTGATAAAAAGTTTGATTTCTATAAATAATATCATATCAAAAAACAATACCGTACTAAGAGAAATAACAAATTTTTAGTATTCATTTTATTATAGAAAAGACCTCGATAAAAGAGTAAAATGGTACTAGGAATGCAACACACTAGAAAATAACCTATAAACCATAATATTAATAATTGAAATTTAGTTTAGTAATAATAGTATTCATTTTATTTGCTTTTAAAGCATATTATGTTACTTAGTAGAAAGACAACAAAACATAAATAAAGAAAAGTATGATAAACCGTTTGACGAACATACAATGATTTAATAGGCCTAGTTATATTAAATTTGGCGTTTTCGCAACTCCATTGGCGCTCCATATATTTGTTGAAAACAAATCGCGACCGAAATGAAGCGTGACCGAAACGAAGCGCGACCGAAATGATCTGTATTCAATGAAAGCAGGTCTCCTTCGCCTCTCTGCTGGCCACCAGAAAGAGATGGGTAGAGGCCAAGGCCTATCCTCACAGGCCTAGCTAAAAGTCTGGATTAAGAAATCTGAGTTACAAAATAATTCCTTGTTGAGGTGAAACTATCACATCACAAACACAAACACACACACACCAAAGATGTTTACCTCCTTGCTTGCACACACACATATTGAACATAGCCTGGCCTAGGCCCTATCTAGACTAGGCCGGGTTAAATTTGTTAGTTACTAGGCCTAGGCTTATATAAACTTTTTAAATTAAAGGTAGTTATTTTATGTGTTCAAATACACAGTAACACTTTTTTCGAACTCAACAGCCAGTGCACACCATACTGTTTTTTAATTGCGCGGAGGATATCTAAAAAATCATCTCAAAATCACTAGGAAAATAGTAGGTGCGCAGAATTTTAATTGCTGCATAATTGCATTGGTTATATATTAAGATTTGGTCAAAGCCTAATTGTCAGCAAAAGCTGCTCAGGAATCGGCACTGATTTTACACATTTCTAAGCCAAATTTTCGGAACCGAGGATACAGTCTAGAGTGCACATATTCAGAGAATATACTATGCGATGGCTAATATCTGAGCCCAATCTTTTTGTACCCAAGTCTAAAATATGACTTTTCAAAATATGCCCGGACAGGTGTGATAAAAATGAGGCAAAATATTGTGTTCACCAGCATTTTTATTTTTTTTTAGGTTTAAGATGAGAAACTTGCAATTGCAAACATGTCATCGAGCTTCTCAAGTTGCTGAACTTGTTGGAGTTGTATGCTCAACTGTTGATTGTGACACCGGGAGAATTTATGCATCAAACTCAAGATATATTGTTGGACTAGATCCAGATACTGACCAGGTTAACTATAATTATGTGCTTATTGATATTGAACATGTTTATATGTTTGTAGCGGGTTATTAAATATATAAAAAAGGTAAAGGTACACTGTAAATGTAGGGGAATAACCCATAACTTGCAGCATCATTTGTGCTGAATTGCATATGGGCGTGGTCCATGACTATCTAGCAGCTGTAAAGAGTCGCTCCATGGTAGCTACTTTTTCACATCATTTTACAATGACGGGCTGAAATGAACCATAACATTGGGGTAACCCTCTACTCTTCTGAAAGATGCAATGGGTTCTTTAAAGTGCACACAAGCCAGATGTATACACTGGACCACCATTTTAAGTCCTTATCCGAGAAGACTTGGTTCTACCATGGGGAGGAGCAGCTGGAACCAGTGCCGATGTTAAGGCTCTAGCTAGCGGCGCCCCTGCCTTGATTCGCAAAACAATAAAGTAAACAATTAAGTGTTGTTATTCAAATTACAGTATGTTATGTTTTATGTTGAGGCAGGTGCCCCTGCCTTACCACTCGGCCACTCAACTCGCAAATCAATAAATAAACAATTAAGTGTTGTTACTCAAATTATGTTATGTTTTTTGTTTATTTTTTAAAGGGGAAAATTGCATTTTTATTGTAAATCAGAGTTCCATTCAGAACTTACCCTGTCTACTATACTTGGACTCCTTTTCATTAAATAAACACATGAATTAACTCATTTTAAAGGTATCATTGAATGTCTGTCTATGCACCGAAGGATACATCATACCAGATAGTACAGACCATGTGATTGGGCTACAGCATATTCCAGACCAACAATCTGTGTGTGCTGCTACAAATAAAGGAGATGTACTGCTTATCAATACAATGACAAATGAGGTAAAGTGTTCAGTTACGTATATATAAGTAACCTAATTTGTGTTGTCACCTACTAGGCAATAATACTGTACTATATTTATGCTATATATGCTGCATTTATCAAAATGATTGTTCAGTTTTCATCTACATAATTCTTGCATTTTAGGTAGAATGCATTGGCAGTGTTGACCAGGGTTTGACAGCAATATCATGGAGCCCTGACCAAGAACTGGTGGTCCTTGCCACAGGTAAACCTTGACACCCCACCTGTTAATGAGTTTTCTCCTTCTATACAAAAATTCCTGAGTCAATATCTATAGCATTTCTTTCAAATATATCATTCTTGAAGTAATAATACTGGGGCGGATGTAGTGGGGGTGCAAACAGTGCAATCGCACCCTGTAGATGGTATTAAGACAAATAATTGTTGTATTGTATTGTTGATATGGATTACCGGTAAGATTTTAATGTATGAGAGTGCAATTTTCGGGCGCCTGGAAGTCCTTCTTTCTCACCTCTGCCCCAACCTGAGGTGGTGTGGATTCTCACATACCCCCTACCGCCAAATCCTGCATTAATCAGAACTAATGTTCTCATTAATTTTCTTTATCAGTTTACTATATATAATCCAAGCAATTTTGGAATTCAGTATTGATTCAAATCTATAATTTTTATAGAAGCTTCTTCGGGAGTATAAATTAGAACCTATAACATATGAATATTATTAAATTAAATTGCTCTGGTGCTGAGTTAGCAGTGCAACTTGAAAAAATCCACAGTGGGGAGTTTACAAAATAAAACCAATTATCTTGAATCTTGAATATTATTTCTTTAAAAATTGATCCTCTGTACTGTTTATTTTTTCTTAAAGGTCAAAATACACTGATTCTTATGACCAAAGACTTTGACCCAATTACAGAGACCTCTTTACACCCAGAAGAATTTGGAGAGGGTAAGCCAATTTTAAGTAGGGATACCGTTTAACAACAGTAATATATTATACTAGTAATTTATAACTCACCTTTATAACTCAGCTGCATTGACTCTCTTGCAGGTAAACCAGTTACGGTTGGTTGGGGCAAGAAAGAGACCCAATTCCATGGATCAGTCGGCAAGCAAGCTGCTAAGGCCAAGCCAGAACCAGTAAGCTTAGCCACGGAATGGGATGATGCAAAGATAAGAATTAGCTGGAGGGGAGATGGGCAGTTCTTTGTGGTCAGTTGCATTAGCCCAGAGACTGGTAAGTATGCATGTGGATTTTTAGGTTTACATATTAACACTTTAATATGATTTATGATGAATTATGGTAGTTCCACAAATTAATGTGTGTAGTTTGCTATGAAACTGCATTAAATTTGCCAATAGTGTTAAAAATTTGAATATTTTCACCTCTCCAACTTACATAAAAGAAGAATTCTAATTTTTGTAGAATAATCCTAATTTTTAATAATCAGAAATGTCTTTTATGTAAAGCACAAAAGTCTTGGATTTTAACAAAATTTTCTTTCAGGTGCTCGTAAACTTCGTGTGTGGAATCGAGAATGCATTCTCCAGTACACTAGTGAGGATGTCAGTGGACTTGAACATGGGTTATACTGGAAGTAAGTACAGGTCTCCCTTCAATTAAAGACCACTTTTGGGACCATGGTTTTCATAATCTTCACTGGTACTGGTATGAGCATCTATAATGCGTCTCTTCGTTGCAGTTATAAAGTGTTGCTGCTGGTAATCAGCATTGGAGCAGGCAAACCCACCAGTTACTCATTTATACTCCTGGGTGGAGAGAAGCAATGCAGATAAAGTGTCTTCCTCAAGGACACAAGCAAAATGCACAGCGAGGGATTGAAGCCCTGACCTCAATGTTGGGAAACCAAACCGTTCCCGCTGCGGCAAACTGCTTCCACAAGCAGCTTTGTGGTCTCTAATTAAAAAAATAAAAATAAAAGAAAAAGATATTTGCTAATTTGGGACCACAGAAAAGTGGTCTTTAATTGGAGGTGGTTTTTAAGTGGAGGGGTCTTTAATTAGAGGCAGACCTGTATAATGCCTGTTCAGGGCCTTCCTTTTCTCTAAGCAACCACTAATTCAATACCTGTCCAATGCCTTGTTAATATACTACTAGAGACTGAACTGAAAAGAACATATATTTTTCACGATTATATGCCTATTCTGTTAAAAAAATTTTCTTTTCTCTTTATTTATCAATTTATTTAATACTTTGCACTTACAAATATACATAAGTGATGGAAGAGTGCCAACAGGCTATAAACACCTCTACAATGGCTTTCTCCTTATAAGTATATTTATTTACTGATAAAGGTAATTTTTTAATCATATAAATTATTATTAAACACCAAACATCCTTGATATATCTGTTATCTCCACACTTGTAATTGGGTAGTCTCGAGGATAATGATTGCCTACATTACAATTGTAAAAAAAACATTTATGAAAATGTCAACACACTTTGAAATCAATATAAATTTCAGACCATCTGGAAGTTTGATTGCCTCCAGTCAGCGTCTGGCACACCGACACGACATCGTATTCTTTGAGAAAAATGGTCTACGACATGGTGAATTCACCCTCCCATTTGGGCAGCAGGAAGTTAAGGTCAGAAGTCCAAACATTATGTTTAAGTATTTGAAAATGAAAATGATGTTTTAAACAAACTAAACGTGATATGTATGCTCTACAGGTTATGGAAGTGCAGTGGAACTTAGACTCAAATGTACTCGCTGTTTGGCTTGAAGACCTGCCTCCAAAAACAGCAGATGAAAATTTCTTCCCTAAATCATATGGTAAGAAAACTAACTGAAGAATTTCATTCATTTATATCTTTTTATTTCTCTAAAAATTGAATAGGCCAACAAATAGAAGCAATAAATTCATATGTAAAACATCTGTAGGTTAAAAACAGAGGAAAATTAGTGAGTTGGTAACAAAACTTAAGACTACATGTGCAAGACTCAAGGAATCGAGATGGAGAAGAGAAAAATCTTCTTTGTATGCCAATAATGATGTTTGTCCTTTAGGGCGTTTTTAAACATTTGAAACAATATGCCAGTTGATAGTTTGAAATGCGCATGCCCATATTCAAGGTCATTCAACGTAAACCTATGTTGTGCGTATGGCTTATGCATATTGACCTTGATATGCATATTGACCTTATGCATATTATTATTATTGACCTTATGCATATTGACCTTGATATGGGTATGTGCAGTTTAAACCGTAAATTGGCTTATTCTTTTGATTTTGTCAAAACATGTTCTAGACCCTTGTTCTTTTGGTATGAGTAAAAACACTGGTTTTAAGGCATTGTAACTTGGCAGTCAATCATATTGTCTATCCTTTTCACAGTGCAATTATGGACTGTTAACAACTATCACTGGTATCTGAAACAGAGTCTAGACTTCAAAGCATCATCCAATGAAAGATTAGTAACCATGGAATGGGACCCTGAACAAGCATATCGTCTGCACATAGTGACAAAAGGTGGTGATTATTGTCAGTATACATGGTCGTGGGCAACAAATCATAGCAGGGGTATGACCCCACAGAACCAAGCTCATGTTGCAGTTATTGATGGGGGTATGCTTCTAAAATTTTATTTTTTAAAACAAGCATTTATGGGAAAATTCAAAATGCTGACATCAATTTTTGTTAGGATTTGAT